ACGGCATTATTTCCTTTGCTCGGAGACGTCTATCATAATAATCGAACATTTCATATTGCGGCGATCATCATTGCCTACACGTTATAGCTAGCATTGGCAAATCAAGATACTATCAGGTCAGAACATAACAGATACTCAAGACACTCAGCAAGTCCGATACAGATGGGATGGGGAAACAGGTACGACTCATGTGGCTGTCATATGATGTAATACAGCCAAATGTTTCGAATGAAGCTGTCTCGTGTCTTCCGACCCGGTATTGGTATGGCGCTAGGACGCATGGATGTTGCAATATAAATAGAAAATATTCATAATCTTATTGTCGATAAAAGTGACTGCTAAACGTCACAGTCACATTTAATTTTACTCTCAACTGAGTGTAACGTGCTTATCTATATCTAACATCATGCGTCTATGCATTTATCAATATCAGCCGTTTTCACGACAGCCATCTGGTACACATTTGGTGCACATCTGGTACAGATTAGGTGCAGATTAGGTGCAGATGGTCGTCAGGTGTAGGCAGCGACGTGATGTTGACTTTTGTATTAACTTTGACGACACTATTATTAATCCATCACCATCAGTCAAGGTTTTGGGCGTGTCCGTTGATTGTAATCTAACATGGGTTTCGCATGTGTCGCTGGTGGTGCGTCGTTCTTACGCAATTATCAGCGGTCTGGGCAAGATGTCTCGCCGTTTGCCATCTGAAGTGAAGAGATTTTTAATCGAAGCACTGGTGTTCCCTCACATTTTATATTGTTTGACTGTATATGGTGCTTGTGGTTTAACTCAACGCCACCGCCTGCAAAAAGTTCTTAATCACTGTGCTCGCATCATCTTTTGTGCTAAAAGGTACGATCATGTTTCACCGCTATTAAAGCAGCTCCACTGGCCGACCATTGAGGACCTCATAACTGAACGCGATATGGCCATGTTATTTAGAACCATACATCATCCGTTAGCTCCCGACGCGTTGCGTGACCGGGTGGTGTACCGGAGAGACGTGGCGGAGAGAGATACGCGCGGTACGCTCTCCGGTCTGCTGCAGCCGCCCCGGGTGCGACGGGAGTTCGCCCGGAAGTTTTATACTTACCGGGCGACGGCCGCGTGGAATCGGTCCCCCTCTGATGTTCGGGAGGCGAGGACCGCTCGGGGATGCCGGGGCGCCGTTAGGACTTGGTTGCGGGCTTCCAGCGAACATTAGGACGGTTTGTTAGACCGGCTGGCTGTGATGGTAAATTGGTAATATGTCGAGTGCTGATTCTATCCAAGTGTACATATGTACAGGGTGGGGCAGCATAATCGGGAATAAATATCAAACGGGATTATTTGGTCATGAATCTAAAAATATAGCTCCAAGCACTATTTTAGCAACATCCTATCAATCGGTCACCTTTTACCTATCCCTCATCCTATTTGACCGCCCTCGGCGTCGATGACCTTCTCAAGGCGGGTCCAAAAGCACGCGCATGCACGTGCAACCTCCTGCTTGTCCATGATCGCCCATCAGCTTCGTACCTTGCACTGAAGACTGTTTTTACTGATGATAAGTTGTTCATCAAACTTCTACCAAAAAACGCTCCATGTAAAGAATTTGGTCGGATTTAAATCGGCGGAGTTGAAGGACCAGAAGTTTTTGGTTCATCTCAGGTGGAGGTGCCCTACACAATAACATGTCGTCCTCACTGCAGTACCAGCACGGACAGAGTCCTCGTAAGACGTGATCTGGACCGTCAGTGATCCTCTCTTCCGACGACTCCACGTGAGTCTGCCAGAGTGTGGATGTATTTACCAGAGGTGCTCGTTTTATCCGGGCTCGATGAAGTAGGGTGCACCACGTGCACCTCCCTTGAAGACCACCCATAGGTCCATCACCTCAACAGGATGTTTACTTTGCATGACCGCTGCAATATTCTCGATACAATCCCCTATATGGCATGCCATTCTTTTTTATCGTATTCCAGTCGGTGATAAGATTTTTGGTCGCTGAAGTTTTGAACATTGTTTCTTTTTAATATGCTCAAGAGCTTCTTCCTTATATTCAAGTGAGTCATCTTGTATGTCCTCTGCTAAGAGTTATTTTACGACGATTACGTTAACTTTTTGTCCTAAGTATCCCCACACAATCCTTATCGTCCGTGATAACACGTTGACCTGTCCAGCAACCTTTACGTGGAATGGCATTGTTTTAAACAAAATGTTCTTGTTTTACTCGTTTAACATTAGTGTCTATGGGCGCGCGCAAAGCACTTGGAGCACCGTCGAATTATTTTGCTGCTCTTTTCCAGGAAGTTGCATGCTCATGGATGTAGTCATGTCAGATGATGCACAACTTTTGGGCGTTTCATTGCCATGATATAATTTATCAAAATAATGCCATGCCTACTCATGACCAGAGCCCAAAAAGCATTCCCGATTATGCTGCCCCACCCTGTATGTATTGTATCTTGTATGACTCTTAGCCGTAAAAGCCATTTATGGAGGCTATTCGAAATACATCATCATCATCATCAAGATTTGGTCAAATCAGGTTCAGTGGGTCTCTTAGCAGCTATCAGCTAGGGTTGCACTAATTGCTTATATGCCTGCTTTGTCATATTATCAGAGAGCGTCATCGATTAAAACACTGAAATAAATTCATAAAATGAAGATATTTGCTGTAAAAGAAAGTGGGTGCAGATTTGGTCAAATCAGGTGCATTCGCCGGATAGCCCGTCGTGAAAACGGCTATTCACGCATCTAACACCCGTCGACCAGCGTTACATGAAGTTCTTATCGCGCAAACATTCCTCTCAATAGACAAACATGCCTCTCAAGTGAGTGAGTGAAAAGTGAGAGGCAAACATGCCTCTCACTTTTCAGTGGCGCCTCTCCGCCGGTAATTATCTCGACCTTCGATAATGGAATCCCTCCCGCGAGCCCCGCCCTGCGCGGGGCTCGCGCTCTGCGCCGATCTCTGCGCGAGCGGCGGGGGCGGAGTGGCCCGGTCGGTCCGTCCGTTCGTCCGTCCACCCGTCCGTCCGTCCGTCTGTCTGTCCGTCCGTCGTCTGCGCGGCAGCGCGGCGGTGCGTGGGACGAGGACGGAGCGACCTCGCGTCCACCTCCTCCACACATAGCCGGGTACCAGCCGCTCCCGTGTGCCCCCGCCAGCCGCCAAGGTCGCTAAGAAACAGGCAATTAAAACCGCAGACGACTGCCACCGTGACACAAAACAGCTTGAGGTTATGACGGATTCGGAATGAGAGCAGTGTCATTGGTGTATGTAAGTGTCCTTGGGGATCATGTAAGATTTCTTATTGATGAAGTAAGAACAATCTCCAAAATAGTTGAATTACTCGTAGGTATATGGCGAAGGAATGCAGCCGATCAACTGTTGATAATATCTCCAAGCTCCGAACAAAATGACGGACACATACATTCAGTCGCGCGAAAGAAATCGTATCAGGGACGCGATCAAATCCAGTAAAACATTGTTAATTGTCATATAGGACAGTGAGCAAGAGACATTGCGTTGAATTTTTATTTAAAAAGCACTCCAATTTGGCACCCTAAATGTTCAAATATGGATTGGATGACCGGTGGGAGTGAATTACATAAGAGCGCATCAGATGTAACTATCGTACAAAGGCTTGCGCAAAGACCGCATGACCACCTAATGCCTGCATGTCTGCACGTCTAAGGCCCATGGTCGTTCAGAATGAAAGGCGCCGCTCCGGCGCCGATGTCCACAAAGCAAAGTCTGGGACGCACTAACTCCCGCCGCCAAATGTCCAGAGAGCTGGCCATGCCTCAGTTCCGTTACAACTATAAATAAAAGATAATCATTCATAGGCAACTAATTGGTATTGTCATCTAGCCAGGGTCCCAATCTTTCATAATATTAAATTAACGATCACCGGCACGTCCCTTGGTAAGGTGAAGTGGACTTTCACTTCGTATGCGAAGTTTAACCGTAGAATCGTCCACCATTAGTGTTTTATGAATAAATATGCCTAACCCGAATGTGTGAGTGCGGATACGTGCCAGAGAGTGGGTGTTCGGTAGTGGTGGGTGTGGGAAGGACCGACTAGACAACCACAAATAGCTCCGTCTGGCACGAGCTCAAAGCGAAACAGAAAATTATGCTATGTTTTTATAATCAAACAACATCTAAAAATATAATTTGTGCTAGGCATAGACATTTGCTTGTCTTCGATAGGACAAAATATAGTCCGCTTACCGTCTAAGGCTAAAAAACTAATTAAGTTTGCGATAGCATTTCTGAAAGTATTTATTGGTAGTTAACGATGAAACTTTTCTTCATTGACAGGTGCACACGAGACAGCGAAATATGGTCGTGGGACGTGGAGATACTGTCTATCTTTGTCTACCTGTGAAGATATTGGCTATCGTTAACTATCATCGTGCCTAGCGCCTCATGCTTGGTAACAGAACGTGCGTAGGTACTGTCTCTGTTCAGGGATGTTGTTTAGAGTTTCACTTTCGTCCCATCAGTACGGGCCTGCTACTGACAACAGCCGAGGTCGTGAGCATCGATGTCTGATGGTAACGGCTTTCAGCGACTAGCACCGGACACGGTGATACAGCATTGCACCATTCGACACCGGACATAATATTCACATTATGCCGGGGTGGATTATGCCATTCATCAGGATTACTGGAGATAACGCTCGCCATGACAGCGCCCATTCAGTGCAGGTGCAAGCCAATTGTCTGTCCTGTTGGCTCTGCTTGCGCCGACAGAAGGAGGAAATAAACTCTTTTGCTTGCATCGGCAAGTTTTGCACATGTCGCATCACTTTTCCCTTTTAACTTGCATTATTGTATGCATGATTAATGATTGTAATGCATGATTGTATGCATGGTTGTAATGCATGATTAGTAGATGGTTTTCAAACGGCCAGGTATCAACTGCACGACATCAGACTTTCGTCGGAGACCGGAAAAAAAATACTCGGGAGAAGTGACACCGCTCCCGGGTGCAGGTAGGTACTCACCAGCACCTCGTCGCTCCAGAAGCCCTCCTCCACTCCGGTGATGCGCAGGATCTCCTCCCCCAGGTAGCACTTCTGACACTCGAGGTGCTCGATCTGCTTCTCCCGCTCGGACAGCTCCTGTAGACGGACGGTGCAGATAATTTGTCAGCGGTTGGACCCAGCAATTATAAAATCAGATGTAGCTATGCACATAAAATCCTTTGCAGTTTGCATGAGCCTATGTCCATGCCTATGTGTTCCTGCATGTGATGCTTGCAATTAGCAATTCCTAAACGTTTAAGCAATCGAATAAGAGAGAGCCATTTTCATCTCCGTTTAATTGCATAATACACATGTCATGGCTTTGTGCAATAAAAATGGACTTTGGTTCAGCAGAAAAGGGTGTAGAGGAGAGAAGGTTGTCAGCGTTCAAGCCGGTTTTCAGATTCACAACCAGAATAAAACTTTTGTGCGAAAAGATAGGAACGAAATAAGGACGTTCGTGACCAGCAGAGCAGACTCTGGCTTTTGAATCGTCTCGGCAGGCCTGCAGACACGCGCGGTGCGTATATACCTCCGCGTAAGGCTGTAAGCGGCATGACTGGTGTCAAAAGACCGGTGGTACACGGCCACAGCGGCGACCGACAGCACATCCGCCTGGTGAAACAGGATAGATCGACGGGAAGCCCTGTCACAAGTCTCAACCGGAATGCGAGCAAAACACAGACGGTAGCACGGTCGCAGCGTGACGAATCTTCCGCGAACAGTGGATGGGAGTGTGTGTCGAGCGCAGAAAAACATAGCCAGATCCTTCGTAAGAAGCGTGTCACCTGTGAGCTCAGAGGCAAGTGCTACACATGAAAAGATTTGGCATCGAAACGTCATAAATCGGGCTTCACTCGACGAAATAATGACAGATGACAGCATGTTACAGTGGCATTGACACGTTGACATTAAAAATGAGGCAACGCTGCTGCGGACGAGGAAGAACCGTCAATGAAGGTGCAAAGACAAGAAGCAACTCGGTGATTGGGTAGCGGATAAGACTCATGCACTGTTTACTAAGCTTATCAAACGGTTGACTGGGAAGCACCGAATGTGCATCATCAAAGGCCCGAACGAGGAAGGAACGTTGGCCGGTGCCAGTGACTGGACGGTGACAGTTTTCCGGTTCCACCAAGACCCTGTCAGCCTGGCCTGCATCGGTTCAGGTGCCTCTGTCGATCGGGGGGGGGAGGGGAGGGGGAGTCTCGAGTTCGACAACAGAGGGGAGGGCGCTGGGTGGCGGGTCGGATGACGATCTACATTTAGCCTCTGGGCGGCTGAAATCTGAGCCCAGTCGGATGTCACCACCTCCGCGTGCCGTCTCCGATTCCATGCTCAATCGTGTCGGAAATCTGACGCCGTCTCGGCGGATACAGGTGAGCGAGCACGGGAAACAGAGATGATAAACAGCAGTGTCGGTGTCCAAAACGGCCTTGTGCCGTTACCGTAAAATTCCTGATTGGCAAGAAGCTTGTAATATAGCTTTCGACATTCGCGTGACACAATCCGGTAAAATACACAAGTAATGCGCAGAACAGCTCGCTGTTGCCGGTTCAGATCAGACCTAACTAACAGAGCCGGACCTGACAGCCACTTGTCGTGGAGGTCCATCACCGAGATAATGAATCGACATCCAATACAACTCGTCCCACGCGACTGGGCGGAAAGTGACGCCCGCGGTCCTGATACGGTCTCGGTCAGAAGTGGTCCGCCCACACTGGCTCCCATCTCAGCAAACTCGGACCGAGAAGAGAGCAGTCAGGCGTGGGACTGAGTGGATGTAGGCACTGAGTGTCTGGAAGAGGCGGCCTCACGTGAGTGTAGTGTCTCTAACCGCACCCGCCAACACCACAGCAGGAGAGTGAGACACCGCTCCGCCGCGACGACAGCAGCGGCGGCGGCGGCGGCGGCGGTGGCGGCAGCGGCGGCTGTGGCGGCGGCGGCGGTGTGGGGAGAGCAGAGGTGCCGCCTCCCACCCGGCGGCGGAATTCGGCCCGGTCCGTACGGCGCCGGACCATCTCCGGCTACCGGCTGCGCTCCCGACCGGCCGCGACCCGCACCGTTCGGGCGGCTTTGAGTCGGCTGTCGGCCGGCGCCGGTTACGACATGCGGACGGCGCGGCGGTGCGCTCAGCGCGCGTCTCTCGGAGCGCCGCCCGCCGCCGGGACGGTGAGAGGCCGTCTGTGACGACACATGGACGGAGAAATCCCGGAAACGGCCGCCGAAGTGGCGCTGCCCGCACAATAGTGGTCGGCCACCGCGGTGACCGCGGGACTGAATGCCGCCGATCGCCAGAGAAGACTGGTGAAGGTTTAATTGAGTGCGAATTTTCACTCAGGCGCTGACGGGTGATCTAAGAGTTGAGCTTCGAACCGGTTTGAAGTATTACCCGACCTTCTTCCGGGTGGAGGCTGGGAAATACTCCCGATCGATGCGTATTGTGTAAAGCGTGGGGAAAAGCAAGTAATGTGCTGATGACCAGAAAACGTGGTTGGTATAAAGCTCGAAACAAGGCCTTAACCCGCGCCCCACTGGGGGGGGGGCTATTTATAGCCCCCCTCCCGTTTTTCTGCAATTACTTCCAAACCGCTCGACGGATCGACGCCAAACTTTCAGTACCTTTGGCTGCATCAATTTGACACCTTGTGTCAAAATTTGAACTTCGTAGCTACCATAGGTCGGCCGGAAATGACGTCAGAGTGACGTCATGTTCGTCCGATTTCGACGCAAAACATTGAACCACGGCAATCGCTCCCAAGAGCTCAGTTTTTAAGCTAGATCCAATTTCTTTGCATGAAAGAACTCAAAATTGACCGCGCTATCAAACTGCTATCTCGGATTTTCAAAATTTTGAAAATTTCGAAAATTTTATATAATAATATTCAAAATTTATATTTTTATATTTTTTTCAAAAAGTTTTTGACTTTTTGAAAAAACCGGAATATATGTGACAGAACGCATGATTATGACTAACTCTAGCAAGTTTTAGCTAAATATCTTCAAAAATGGCCAAGATATACGCATTATTGCAAAAAATTCACAATTATTAATTTTTCAAATCAATTTTTCAGTACGTATTTGGCATCGTACACCAATATAAATGGCACCATCGTGTTCCTGAGCTCAAACTGCATCCAATAGACACCTTTTTTGTTGAAAAATTTCAACTTCAAAATTTGACCTTTTTTGACCTGAAAGTGACCTGACCTAAGCTAAATTCGACTCAAAATGACCTCGAATGACATAGACGACATCAAATTCGAAATCTATGGCCTAAATGGACCGTAAAACATGTGTCACGTGACCGACGCATGATATAATATTTTCGTGACCTGTGATGACCTGACCCTGACCTGAAAATCAAAGTACAAGTTTGGTACCCTCAAGGTATCTAGAGCATCTGTTCATGAGTGTGGAAACCAAAAATGAGCCTGATCTGACTTGTAAGACGGCGGCCAGAGCCCAAAATGTGAACAAGATAAAGTGCTAATAATTTTTCCTTTGACCTGACCTGTGACGTCATCGGTGACCTCGAGGTCAATGAAATTAGGTTTCGCTCGACAGTTTTTCCGGGGCTATCAGACGCCGTTTGAATTTTGACGATCGGCCCAGTAGTTTCGGAGTTAGGAGGGGGGGCTATGAATAGCCCCCCCCCCCAGTAGGGCGTGTTATACACAGACCCCAGTGGGGCGCGGGTTAAATACTGAGATGATTTTACCTGTCAATACTCAATAAAACCGGAATGGGAGCAATATGATCAAAGGCTTCTTAAAAATCGAGTTTACTGATGATCGATGTGCATTTGTTCTTGGAAACATAAAAAGATGCCTAAGTCAGCCGTTCTCCAGACTTCATGAAATGAGTAGAGCTTATCACTAGCATGTTAGCGTGTAACTAGCCTATCGCCAAGCGCAAAAACGGAAAAATGAACAAATTCTGATCCATTTTAACATGCTTGGCACTGGAGTGTTCTTCTAATAACCGATGATCACCGCAAGCTGATGACTTGTCAAACGGATGTCGATAGTATCAGCGTTTGGACGTTTGTCTGCCCAGCTGGACTGACCGCAGCCCGACAGCGGTGAGGTGGCTGGGGCCTGACAGTGTGCCGGAGGATCTGTGGTAAAAATCCGGCCGTGATATAATCCTCAGTGGTAGAGCCGGCCGAGGGCGTATATCCCGAGGCCGGTATACGCCCAGTTTCCCTCCTGACTCAGTTCTGGTCCGTGGGCTGCCGCCCGGTGTTCAGTCGCCGCCAGAAATGGTACCAGAGCGAGACAGGAATTCGGCCGACCTTGTGTTTTCCGGCAGCCGGCTGCGCCTTTAGTGCGGGCGCGGCACGCAACGGCGGCGCCGCTGGCTGTGCAGCGGGCAGCGGCTGTGCTCATAGGCGGCGGAACGGTTTGGGACAAGGGGGGGCACCGGCTCAAGGAGCCAAACCTAGGGTACCCCCAAATCCTGTTTTCTCATCGGATTTAGGCCACTTATTTTTCGTCAAAGCCTTGACACGGTGATTTTTTTTAAAATAAAAAAGTTGAGAAATTGTAGCCCACCCCTCAATGCGTGGTTAACATAGGCTGATTCTCCGGGTATCTTCGACAGGCTAACAGTTTCTCTTAGGAGCAGACTTAACCAGGCTTTACCAATCAAATATGAGACTATATCCGATTCCATATAAGTAATGTTCTAAAGTATATATTTGTCTCTTCCTTATTGTCGCTTGAGAAGTCCCATATATCCTCCATGTATCAAATTCTCAAGAAGCCATCGTAGTAGTATTCAACAATAGCATAAGACATGTACAATGCAACAATCTTCAGCCGGGAATCTCAAGCAGAGAATCCCTATATCGACAAGTGACGATACCCACTGAAGGAATGCGCTGTTCACATCACAGGTGTAAACTGTACAGTGCACATACATACAAATGGCTGGGCCACAATACATACAAATGGGCACGCAGTAGACATCAGAGGCACGCCGTACACATTTCACATGTTCTGACCTAAACCTGCCCAAAAAAGTGCAGCCGCCTATCGTTGGCCGTGATGAAGTTTTTGGCAATCACACTGAGGTCAACGCTGTCTGCGTAG